TTATGTTTTCCTTTGAAAATACTTATTGTGTTTGTCCTGTCCCCACTGTGGCCAGTCGTGTGCCTGCTATTTCTGTCCAATTCTCGCCTCCACTCCCTCCAACACCTCCAGCTCCCCACCGGAATGCGTGGGAACCGGACGGGCGGGCTAGCCAGAGGACCTCTGGCAAAATATACCCACTTTTAGATGAAGAAGTGGAGGGTCATAGAGACCAGTAATGGAACTGAGTGGAACTAGATTTTTTTTTTTCTGTCTTGCTCCATCCAATCCATAACAGGTTCTCATAGCATAGATACTTTCACTCTTCCTAATTTTCAGATGGTCTACCTGCTTAGAAGAGGTGGCATAGCCTTTGAACTTGCATGCCAGGCAGGCTCCAGGCATGGGGAAGAAAGGGGGGATCCTGCAGGAGGATCTTGGGAGAATAAAACAAAAGGATGAGCCACCTCCGACCAGCCCACCCCTGCCTCACTGACCCTATTTGTTAAGAAGGTAGCTTTGCCATGGTAACCTTGAAGAGAAAGAGCCGTTCCCTCCATGGGGGACTCCATCGGGGAAGGCATACTCCATGAGCAGTAACATTAATGATAGTAAACATTACAGATACTATTAAATAGCGACTCTGCCAGGCACGTCCTTTGCACGAAAGTATTACTTCCTGCTGATAAGTTCATTTTCATTTTATAACTGACAAGATGAAATCTGAAAGATTTAATAGCTCCGGCAAGGGTATGGGATAGAAAGTGGGTTGAGATGAAGCCACAAGCCCTGGTTGCCAAGGTGGGGTTTGTGGAGTTAAGATGAAGGGGTTAGCCTGTCGGCAGCAAGCCAGGCAATGCTGAGAGATGCATAGTGTGAAGAAAGCAGGCTGGTTGTGGGTTTCATCTAGTGCTGGACTTGCTTTGTAACCTTGGGCAAGTTACTGAGCTCTCTGAGTGGCTGGATGTCCCTAATGCTACTCCCACTTTTATTATGACTCTGTGATTTGGGAAGTGGCTAGTCTCTTCTGATATAAAAGGCACTGTTCTCCTCTTGGGCCACCTGCTTGAATTCAGTCCCAAGGCCACTATGTTGCATGGTGAGCCACAGCAGGCTGTGCTCAGCGGGGGTCGGGCTAGGAGCCAGAAAGCACCAACACAGGCTTCCTGCCTGGGCTCCAGCAGCAGATCCATCACCTGCTCTCTCTCCGTTGCCTTAGAGCCAGAAAGATTCTTAGGCCTGCTGTGGGAAAGCCAGCACCTGTGAGCCCAACATAGCCTTGGGGACATCCAGGTGTCAGGCTCAGATCTGTCTCTGGGGTCATTAGGCTGTGGGAGAGCAGCAGGCTGCAACAAGAAGCTCCCTTCTTCTGGGATGCCTGACTAAGGATGCACCAGCTTGGATGTCTTGGTGCCTCCTGACCCAAGGGTCTGGATTGGGTTTAAGATGGATAAAGAAACTGTCAGAGAGAGAGAGAGAGAGAGAGAGAGAGAGAGAGAGAGAGAGAGAG